AATTAAAAAATGTAATTTTTTGAGCTATTTTAAAGTTGCTTCTCATATTACAAAGTGGTATGGTTAATATGAGTACTTTTGCTATTTTTTCAAAACCTCTGTGTTTTTAAGAAAAATTTTGGTTGCATAAATATCTAAATGGTGCATGTGTAGGAATCTCTAACAAATGTTTATACGCAAAAATTTAGGATCCAGCATAGTTATTTTTTAAAATATTAAAGTTTTCGCCTAAAGTGCTCATATTACCCTAATCTACCCTAATTAAAAAAAAGTTAGATTACTGAAAAAAAAAAAAAAAAATTGATTGAAAAAGTCAAAACACAATTAAGTATTTTAATAATAGTAAAATATATTAATTACAAAATAATTATTTATCTTATCTAATTTTTCTTTTAAGAAAACAAAAAAAGAAACCTTGATATTAATAAAAACAGCCTTAAGTCATTATTACGGCATCAACAATATTTCAGGGGTAAATGTTTTTCCAATTTCAAGCTTGTATTTTTTGAAACAAATGTTTTCTATAACAAGATCACTTTTAATCAAAAGGTATTGGCACTGGTTTATGATATCATTTTTTCTAGATGTCTTGGCTGTATGGTTCAATAAAACTTTGCAAGTTTCCTTAATCAGAATCACAGGTGACTCTTCAGAGTAGTAACCAATTGGCATTTCTAATGCCTCATATATGTGCACACAATGTAAAAAGATTTATTAACTGTTAGGGGAATCACATACCAGCAATATTTTTATAGTATAAGAGCAGCAGTTTCATAGCGATACTGGTAAAAAGTTCAACTCATAATTATTAGATTAAAGACAACTCAAGTTGTCTTTAATCTAATAGTAACATTTAATAGCACTCCCGTTTTATAGAGCAAAAGTTTCAGCATTTTCAAATACCCTTCTTCAGTGTTCCCATCGCTAATGTTGCAAAAACTAAATTTGGGAATATCCAAAAGACTTAGATACTCTCTAAACGTCAGTCGAATATTTTCTTTTTCTTTTTTTACTTATGCTTTTTCAGCAAAGGATTTGGCAAAGTATTTTTTTTGTGGATACATTTAGGATATAAGTCTAGTTTATATCCTAAATTTAAAATATATTCAAAAGATCTGAGCCAGCAATTAAGTAAAAAAGTTCAGAGATAAAACTTTTTCATTGATGGTTTCGATCTGATCAATGCTGGGTTGTTAAGTTCACAGGGCTTTGCTCCACAAACATTCATGATTGAGAGGACAGAAAGTTAATGAGGGCATTAACTACTTTACCATCAAACATGGCATATTAGGTTGAAATTAAATGTGATAGTCGTATCCGGTTTGTCTTCCTCTACTGCTAAATTTACCTCAAACTTGACTATAATCTATTTTCATTTCTGCTTATAAAAGTTTTTATTTACTTTTTATCAACTCTTCCATTATCTTTTGATGTTTGAGATGTAGGGGTCTACAGTAAAGTGTACTAGAGGGGTTCTTATTTAACCATACATTTTTATTCATGGTGATTTATTTAAATGGAACAAAAGTTGTCTCGAAAAAACTTTACTTTTAAACTTTAATCGCGACAATATTTGTATCAGTATAGTTTTGTTTATGGACACTTTACCTGAAGGCACCATCAAAATCATCTATACAGTTAAGTAAAACTTTAAACCTCCCCTCACTTTCAGCAAATATTCTCATAGAGTCTTTGCATTCGGTAAAAGTTAATATCCTTGTCAGAGTATGATTAAACATACCCAGTAGAGGAGTTGAAGCAGATGTTTCTGTCACAATTAAATTCTTAGATAACATTTGTGTGTCTCAATCTTAATTTCATGAAGTGAAGGATAAATACTTGCATTATATATTATCGTTGAATTTTTTTATAATTTGATACCGTTTATCAAAAAGATTACACTGAATTATTAAGCTCAAAACTTCTACGATTTTTTTGTATCTGTAAACTTCACTCCATGGTTTTAACTTTTTAGAATTTGTAACACTTTTCATGAGAACAACAAAGTCTTTACGTTAGGATCTCTAGATGCTTTTTTTTATTGAATCTAATGCCTAATTTAGATACAACTATTAGTCAACGTTTGAACCTCCTTTAGGAGGATGTTCAGCCAATTTGGCAACCTTAAACAAAATAATATTAAATATTTAAGCGTGTAAACTATTTTTTAATTTGAGTTGAATTTAATTGATTTATTATTCACTTTCTACCTACACCTGATGCAGCGTTTTTTAGTCAACTGTTACAACTTTCTTTAACCAAGTTCGCTTGTGTTCTAGAAAATTTGCAAAATTTTATGAATGTTTCCGCAATTTTGGTTGGATTTCACATTTAAATATTCTTTAAATTTATCATTTCAGGTTTGTCAATACTTTCATAGTATAGACCCTTCAGTCTACAAAACTCAAAAAAATACGATAAAAAAAAGCAATAAAATATATAAAAGGTCTTATTTTTATTTGGGCAATTAGGGGCAAATGATTTTTATTTTATCTGCTATTATTCATACCTATCAATGGAAAAATGTTAAAACTATCATGGAAGCTAGTGGAATCTTTCAGTTTTTGAACTAAACTCTTAATTAAACTAATTTAAAAAAATCATAATAATTAAATGAGATCTCAGTAATGAAAATATAAAAATAAAATTTATTGTCAAAAATGTTGTTAATAGTTACCAAACGCTGTATACCTGTGACTTCAAATTAATTTTTGAACTGTTTTTACCCACGTCATTCTTAAAATAGTTACAATAAAACGAGTTTTTTTTGAACGAGTTATCCGAAAAATAAAATAAAATAAATAAGTTTTGGAAAAAAGCTTTTCATCTGCCTACCAGATAGAAAACTGGCACGAGTGCGCTCTAACCAAAACTTTAAGAAGTAACAATGATTTCTCCTCTAATCTAACTATGATTTGCAAACTTTTGCAATGAAATTCTTAAAACCTATATATATCCGTTGGTCATAATGGAATAAATAGAAATGTTGTCATAGACTCGTTCGAAGCCTTAAAACATGTACTATTTAAAGTTTTTCATTGTTCAATAAAACAGGAAATATTTTAGATCATTTAAAATAAGCTTCATTTACTTCAACTTTTAAGGTTGGCGATCCAACGAATGTTACAAATTATCGCCAAATTTCTTTTCTTTCTGTTTTTCGAAATTTTTACATAACATTACTTTTAGAAATAATTTTATAGAACATTATTTATTATCACCTTTCATTAAATAATATACAATATATCAATCAATACTGGTTAAAAAAAATTACCAAGAAGAACACGTCATTTTTCAAAAGAACATAGAATAGCTAGATCTTTGGAGAAGTCTCAATATACGTTGGTAATTTTCAAAGATTCATCAAAAGCATATGACACTGCTGATCATGAAATTCTCCTTAAAAAATAGAATATTATAGAATTAAAGGTAATGTTTTAATATTACTTAAAAGTTATTTTAGCAACCGTAAACAGTTTGTTTATAGTTTATGAAACTGGATACAACTAATCTATTAAATATAACCTGTGGAGTCCCCCAAGGGTCTTTACTTAGACTACTTCTATTTTTAATGTACATCAATTATCTCCCTGAAGTGTCAAATTTAATGATTTAAATTGACACTAAATGCCGAAAAAAAATGTAACTTTTTCAAGGAATATTTAATAAAAAACTACAGCCTACCGTCTTGACCTTACTATTTATAGACAAAATGTAAGCAAAAAAAGAAACAAATACTAACTTTTTAGTTATATATGTTTGATGAAAACCTTAGCTAGAATTATCACACTAATTGTTAAAACTATTGGAGTAATGGGTAAGGCTAGAAATATTTTGAATAAATCAAGTTTAATACATTTATATTATTCTTTTATAAGTTGTCAAGGTTTTTTTTAGTATTGGGAAGTAAAATAAGTGTCAAGAATTTCATATAGTGATTGCGTATTTCATTTACAACAAACCGAGCATCAACGAGGGATGTTCCATTCAACAATATACTGCGGTAACCCTTACCATAATCTTAAGCAGTCTGCTTTTGAATGGGAAGAAGTATTACCTCAAGTTTTTCACACTTTATTAGTGGTGCAAAAAAGAATTTTAAACTTTTTTTGAATGCGATGTTAGGTTAAAGCGCAGGATATCGTATCGTTTATCGTATCGCAGCCTATCGTATTGTATCGTTTTTGAACCCTGCTACTTGAGGTAAATGCTAATAAGCAATGACAAATTTCTTATTTGACATAAACATAAATTTACAAAAGTTTAGAATGTACTACAACAATCTTAAACAACAAAAAAAACTTGCTACGGGTCTGAGTAGTAAATGATATCTTGAAGTTTTAGAATAATTATATGGTTTCATACATCATAATATCTACAAATTTTCGATTCCTTTAAATTTTTTTTAAAATTATTAAATAATTTGTATAATTCTTAACAAGTTATTAAATAATTTTTATAAATTTTGTAAGTTTAATAGTTTTATAAATTTAAAATAAGTTTAAAAAACATGAAATTTCTTGGTAAATTTAAAAAAATTAATGCGAATGCTTAAGAAATTTATTTCTTACACTTTCGCTTTCAATTTTAAATAACAAATTCACAATCTGTGTTTCCGACATGTTTTATTTTATTAAAAATTGAATTTTGAATAGGAAATTGTTTACTCTACCTAAACGCTTGTGTTTTTATGTTTGAAAGAATACCACTTATCCAACTCAAATTCAACCATCTACAAATTCATAAAATGGATTTGAAAATTCCATTTCCATTTCAATTTATGAAATGGAATGAATTTGAAATAGATGTTAGGGATTTAGATACTTAATGATACCAGGCATCTTTTTCAAAAATACTGGCTATCTTTTCCAGAAATATTGGATAAACGTTTGTCCTCTTCGTTTTCTGTTTTAAAAATATATCTTATATTTTTGCAGAAAATGTGGTTTTACATTCAAAAAAAGAAATTATTATTGATAACAATTTTTAATAGATTTACAGCAGATTTTTTTAAAATTGTCATTTGTTATAAGGTAATGTTTCTAGAAGAGACGGAAAAACAAATTTCAATGCACCCAATCTATCATTTAAATTATTTGGAGAAAAATATTTTTTACAAGGTAACTTTCTGAGTTTTTACTACTTTATTTAGAGTTGTAAATATGAAAAATGTGGTTAAAAAAAAATATATAATAAGTCAAAAGTCTTGCTAATTACACAAGAGTTCTGGCTTATTAAAAGATTTTTTTTTTAATTTTCTTAAACAAGAAATGTTTCTTTTGTGAAATTCTATATTAAGTAATTGACCAAGTAATTTTTTCAGTTGAATTTTTTAATAAAAATCTTTAATTCTTATTCAGTATAGTTGGAAAACATTTAAAAGTTGTTTCTTATGCCTAATAATAAATTTTCAAAGCATTTTAAGCGGTCTTATTAATTATCAGCCAACTATTGTGCCCAATAAGCAGCAATTATTTTTTAAATTTTTAAGTCAACTAATTATCTATGAACTAATTTCTTTTTTATGTAGTTAATGCAGTGTCAGTTATGTATGCAATTTTATTTGCCAATCACAAACCTTTTTCCTGAAGTATACAACACAAATTGACTTTATTTATATGCTGAGTCTTCAAATGAATCTTCATAATAATCAAATATCTTGTAAAATATAACTCTAAAATGTTGCAATACTGTATTACAACTAAATGAATTTTTTAGTTTCAATTGTTTGATGCGTTTAGTAAAGTTGACTATTGCAGATCATTCAATACTAGTTTTCACAATTATGGGTAAAAAAAGTTGTTTACTATAACAGATGTTTGTAAATTAATATGTTTTCTAATTTTTATATTTTTAAGCTACATAAAATTTGTTTTGTTTCACCCTATAAAAAACAAAAATCAGTTGGTTAAGTTAACATTTTTAGTTGTGAAATTTTAATGGTAAAAAAAGTATGCATTACACTCTTATACAGCTTGCAAACCCGGATAACATACCCGTTATAGTCTTGCAGAAGTGTTCTCGGGAGCTGTTGTCTATTATTATTTAACAAGTGCTTATCAGCGTCTTGTTTCCCAGCCTGCTGGAAGCAGCATCTGTTATCTCTTTTTTTTTAAATCCTGGAGAGCGATCCAATTTGTCTAACTACCGTCCCATTAGTCTCCTTCCTATCATAAGCAAGGTTTTTGAATCTTTATTAAACAAACACTAAATCTCTCATCTCGAATCTCATAACCTACTTTCTCATTATCAATATGGATTTGGATTGGATCAGTTATTACTGACAGCAAATCAGCTGTAGAACTTCTCGTTCTACAGCTCATTTGCTGTCAGTAATAACCAATAGGTTTTATTGCGCATAAGATAAAGGTGGAGAGGTTAAGGTCATCGCTCTTGACATTTTTAAAGTGTTTGATAAAGTTTGGCATGCTGGTCTTCTCCATAAGCTTTCTTCTTACGGTGTATCTGGAAACATCTCTAAGATTATAGAATCATTTCTTTCCAATCGTAGTATAAAAGTTGTCATTGATGGATAGCACTCTTCTTCTTATTCTGTAACCTCAGGTGTTCTTCAAGGTTCAACCCTTGGCCCTATACTCTTTATAATTTACATAAACGATCTTCCAGATTTTCTCACATCTAAGGTGGCATTGTTCGCTGGTGAAACTACCTTTTATTCTTGTCACGATAAGAAGCCAACTCCCTCTGATTGCTTGTAGGGGGCATTTGAGCTTGAAAAATTTCTCACTTCTGCTACAGCATGGGGCTCACAGTGGCTGGTGAACTTTAATTCAGATAAAACTTTTTTTTAGCCAATTGTTATCGCAATAATTTAGATCTTCCTATATATCTATGAACGGTAATGTACTCAATGAGTCTCCTACCCTTCATCTTTTTGGATTAACTCTTATTTCTGATCTTTCTTGGAAACCTTATATCATATCGGTTGCAAAATTAGCATCTGCTAAAGTTGCTTCTCTTTATCAATCTCGACACTTTCTTACTTTGGATTTTATTCTCTATCTCTATAAATCTCAAATCTGGCCTTGTATGGAATACTGTTGCCATATCTACGTACCACTGTCACATTGTCATAATGCTGCTTCTATTTTTCTTTTCTACAAATACTATAATAGGCACTGCTCTAAAGAACTAGCGTCTCTTGTGCCATCTACTAAAGTTCATTCTAGTGTTACTTGTCATTCAATCAAGTCTCATCCTTTTTCTGTTTCTGTTCCTAAGTGCTCCAAAAACTCTTATTTGTCTAGTTTTTTTCCTCGAACATCAGTTCTTTCGAATTCACTTCCTTCATCTTGCTTTCCTGATTCATATAATTTACAATCTTTTAATTCGTATGTCAATCGTTATCTTGCTCTACCATCTTTATCTTTTCTCTTCCAGTAACTTCCAATACTAATTAGTGGTTGCTTGCAGCCTTGTTGAAAGCCATGTTATAAAAAAAAAAAAAAAAAAAAAAGTAACTAATATATATATATATATATATATATACATATATATACATATATATATATATATATATATATATATATATATATATATATATATATATATATATATATATATATATATATATATATATATATATATATCATAATATTTGACTTGCTTTAAGTTATTAAAAATAAATCAGAAACATAATATAATTTTGCGGTCATAATATTTGACTTGCTTTAAGTTATTAAAAATAAATCAGAAACAGAAATGACTTATAACTTTCCAGAACTGTAAAATACTGTTATATAATTTTGTATGTAAAAGTTACAGCATTAAAGTCTTTAATTTTTTTAAAAATTTAACTCAAAGTAGCGTGACGTTTGTAACACTTACTTTTTATTACTTCTGAACAAAACAATTTTGTCAGACCTAATGCTGCGTACGGGATAGTGAAAAAAAAATCATTTTGTGTGTGTGTTTATTTCATGCTTATTAATCATAGTTTCTTAGTTTTCATATACATACATACATACATACATATATATATATATATATATATATATATATATATATATATATATATATATATATATATATATATATATATATATATATATATATATATACCCAGTTGCCGTTTGGAACTCGAATTCGACCTCGTTAAACATCGTAACTAACTCGAAATAGAACTCGGATTCGAGCTCTTAAAGGAGATCCCTCGATTTCGAGCTCGCGCTGCGAGCTAATAATATCGTAACCGAGCTCGGCGCCGAGTTTGTTACGATGTTATTAGCTCGCGCTACGAGCTTATAACATCGTAATCGAGCTCGGTTGCGATGTTATTAGCTATAGCTTGCGCTGCGAGCTAATAACATCGTAACCGAGTTCGGCGCCGAGTTTGTTATGATGTCCCAGAAAGAAAAACTTCTACACTCTTATATACTGAGGTAATCACTCTTATTTAACTGATTTAGCACTTTAATTTATCTGAGGTAATAAGGATTAATGAATGGAGTGGTTAGAACTTGATAAACAATATAAAAAAATCATTTATTCAAAGTATACAATTTATTACATAATAAACTTACATTAAAATTGATTTGTTTAATAAAAAACAAAATTAAAATATTAATTTATACATACTATAAGACTTTATTAAAAATAAAATAATTAAAAATAAATATAAACAAATTTATGCAGAGTTTTGCTAAATTTACCTAGTCTAAAAGTTTTTTTTATTTAAATAGTATTTACAAAGACAAAGTTTTGTTGTTTTTTAATTAATGGAATTATTCACGTAGTGTTAAATAAGTAAAACTAAATTAATAAAATAAACAAACACTAAATATAATAAGTAAGAAATAAACATAAATATCACATTTTGGAAAGTTATACGCTGAAAATAATTTAATGTCATTTTTATTTTTGTTTCGACTTAGAATGAGTATTCTTGTCGTTTGCATTATACAAAGATTTCTGCAATGACTTCTTAACGAGTTCTTCGTCCAAAAACCCGATTTTTGCCATGACACCTGCAAACACAAAAATTTAGGCATTTAATATATTTATTATTATATTTGCATTAAAAATAATTACAGAAAAGTATAATAGAACTTATTCAGTGCTAAAACATTAAAATAAAATAATGCTAGTTACCAAAGATTGCTGGGCAGATTCTTGTCTTTAAAAGAGCGACACTACCGCTAACTCTTCCGGTATAACACATATTAATGCGCAGATCATCACTGAACAAAGCCTCCATGATCTTGCGACCAGCAGCCATATGTCCTAGTCCCCGGAGGTACTCTGCACCAAAATTCTTAATTAGCGCCTTTTTCTAGAAAAAAAAGGTGACATTAGCACAAGTATTAACAGTTCTATGAATTCAGACAATTACTACTTAATTCATGACTCACCCATTTACTATTAAATGTATCATTCTCAAGTTTATCATCCAAGTCTTTAATCTGAGAGACTGTACACATTGGAATTTGGCCAAGGTAAACATCGTTAGGTGGATGAACAGGCTTGACACAATTGATCTCCTCATCAGATATGTTATTTAAGTTTAGAGTTTTCTTTTTAAAAACATTGGATAAACCTAGCGCATCTTGTATTTGCATTAAGGAAGTATATACAAAATCTTGAAAATCTGTAAAAGTGTTATTTTGTTTTTTTACAATCTACACTAAAATTTAGATAACTAATATAAAATTAGAAAAATAATTGTAGTAATACTGTAATTATTTTTGTATATATATATATATATAAATCTTTTCTGGTTAAAAAATGTAACAACTAATATTAAAGCAAATTAATTTAAAGGACAGATGCAATAAGTATAACATAATTATAACAGGTACTGCAGAATTGCAAAAAACATACCTGGCACTGACATATCTCTGCCTCTCTTTAAACGTTTATTTTCAGGAATTTGAAATGATTCCGTCGGTGTCCAAGACAATATTCTCTTACTCAGGGAACCATCACTGTAACCCATGTCAGTGTATGGCTTAGGAGGGGAGATGTGAATAAAATCTCCATAATTGCTAAGGGCACGACCTGATTTGAAAGAGTAACAAAGCATTAAAAGAATTAAAAAAATTGTAAAAAACTAATTAGTCAGTGTGTACTACTAATGTATAGTGCAGCACTATCGAATAACAGGCACTGAATAATCTATATCACAATATATTCTACACATAAATAGTTATTATGAGAAATGCTTAAGAATTTATTATTGTTATTTTTTCAGTGCATTTTCATTAGTCTCATAACATCATAGTATATCTATATCTATATATATTTAAACTTCTTCTTGCTGATAAAGGTGAGCAAAAGGATATAAAAACTGCTCACTATCTTTTAGTGAGCAAGTATTGAAGAAGTAGAGGGATAAGGAAGAATAATGAAAATAAATTGATCCCTGCCCTAACCATGACCCTTCGTTGTGTTAGCAACTCCATTGCGAGTTCTCCTTAAATCAGTCGATGTGTTGTACTTTATGTTATGTGCTGTTATGAGACTAATAAAAATGCACTGAAAAAATAACAATAATAAATTCTTAAAAATCTCTCTCTCTCCCTCTTTATATATATATATATATATATATATATATATATATATATATATATATATATATATATATATATATATATACCATTAAAATTTACGAGTATATATTGCAAAAAGTTCAACATGCCTTTAAAATGTTTTAATGTGTATATATTAATTTTATGCTTAGAAAAAATTTATATTGTTTTTGTTTGATGTCAGAGCAACCTAATTAATATTTACAATTGTAATTATAACATATATAATTTTCTTTTAAGTATATTTACAATATGGTAAACTATAATAAACAGTTCAATGAAAATACACACATTTATAATAATAACATAAATGTGTGTATTCACATTGAACCGTTTATTATAGTTTGGTTTACCATATTGTACATTTATTTAAGTGACAATAATTGTTATATGTTTATTTTTACACATGTGTTTATTACACATGTGTAATAAATACATAAACGTGTTTATTCTTACGCAAATTTAAGACTATATATTAATATATAAACTTGTGTAAGAGTAAAAATGTGTGTGTTTGTGTAATTATATTTATGTGTAACATACATATATATATACATGTATATATATATATATATATATATATATATATATATATATATATATATATATATATATATATATATATATATTTATATATATATATATATATATATATATGTATATATATTATATATACATTATATATATATACATATGTATATGTATATATATATATAAAACATTGGTCGTTGCTATTGATACAGCTTTCCTCATTCTGGTTATTCGATCGCATAAATTCATTTCTTTTTATCTTGGTTTTTTTCCCCATTGCTATATTATTATATATATAATTAAGTTAATAAACTAAAATCTTACGATATACGTATTACAAATTGTACACAATAAATATATAAAAATTTCTACGCTAAAAATCACAATTACTAAAATGAAAGATAATTGTCAGATAAAAATAGCAACGGACGAATGCAACTCCATTGCTGCTTTTCTAAGCTTATTTTGGAACAACAGCGTCGTTGCAATGCATTGTTGACAAATTTTCAACTATTTTCATGTGTTCGATGCTTAACGATGTTCAGACGAGTGAACTCGAGTTTGATAATTTTTGGCTGTTATTAAAACGTATATTTATGCCTAGAAAATAATGGAAACTACTCAGTAACTAATATAAAGTGTTTATAACTCATATAATAGTATGTACTAGGCAATATATTCAACCTAGGCAATCCATCGTACAAGCTCTGAGTTCGAGCTCGCAGCGCGACATATCGTAATCCCTCGATCGAGCTCCAAACGGCAACTGGGTATATATATATATATATATATATATATATATATATATATATATATATATATATATATATATTTCATATACATACATACATATACATATATATGTGTATATATATATGTATATATATATATGTTTATATATATGTATATATATATATATATATATATATATATATTTAGTATATATATATATATATATACTAAATATATATATATAAATAAATCGCTCTCCTTCATCTTAAGATTGCACTCTTCTCAATGTTATTTCTGATCAAGTAGACCAAGCTATCTCTTTTTATAAATTAGCCAATATCTTCAATGTTGGTAACTTTTATGCCCATCACACTGATTGGCTTGGCTCTAGTGTCAGTGACTCCTACTCAATTTATGTCTTGTTTCTGATCCCAGTCAGTGTTCAGTTTTTCAACATTCACCCTTAGGTGCTTCAGATCACGGTTTGATCTCTCTCAAACTGTTATCTAATTCTTCGTCTTCATCAGATACCCCATATCTTTGTACCACATACAACTACCTTAAAGCTGGCGGAAAGAGTCCTACTCTTTTTGTGGTTTTCTTTGTGATGGCCTTTGGGTAGATCTATTGCCTTCCTGCTGACAAATGTGCTTCTTATACAAGTTCACGGAGTCAGGCTGGCAGGAAATATTTTGTTCCCTCTTGACAATTCCAGATTAAGCCAACTTTTTTCCATGGTTTTCCTTGCATTTTGCTACTGCAATTTCCAATCAAAATCATTATTTCCATATCTATCAGCAAAACAATTTTCCAGAAAACAGATGTCTGTTCACTATTGCTAAAAACCATTGTAATAAACTTGAAAAGGATCTCACTTTTGCTACAGCATGGGGCTCACAGTGGCTGGTAAACTTTAATTGAGATAAAACTCAATTTTTTCAGCCAATTCTTATTGCAATAATTTATATCTTCCTGTTTTTATGAATGGAAATGAACTTGATGAGTCATCTACCCTTCATCTTGTAGGATTAACTCTTACTTCTAATCTTTCTTGGAAACCATATATCAAATCCATTGCAAAATCAGCATCTTACTCCAGATTTTATTCTCTATTTCTATAAATCCTCCATATGTCCCTCTATAGAATACTGTTGCCATATCTGGGGGGGGATCTTCTAATGATATCCTTTCTCTTCTAGACAAGGGGCAAAAATGCATTGTAAACATAGTTGGACCTGCTTTTCCAGCCTTTTTTTTCTCCAACCATTGTCTCATGATGTTGCTCTTCTTTCTGTTTTCTACAAATACTGTTAAACTGTTAAAAATATGTCCATTTAAATTGGCACTCTTTTTCAATTCTTTTTTTTTTTTTATATCCTCAGAAATAGGTAAAATGAGATTGCCCTCAATCTTTTAGAGGTTTGTATTAGGTTCACAAAAAAAATTTGATACAAAAGTCTAACCAAAAAACATTGAAACTATGTTAGTAATTTTTTGCTGACCTCAAACACTTTGAGGTTGGAAGTTAGGTTTGCATTGTCAAATGCCGACTTCATTCCAAAGAATGTATATATATTAGAATGTTTCAAAAAAAGAGTTTAAATATTTAGGAAAGCTCATAAAAATTATAAAAAATTTAGGAAAGCTCATAAAAATTATCATAAATTATAAAAAATTTTATTTCAATAGTAAAGTTTCATTTAAATTAAAATACAGCAAATCCAGTAAATTTATGAATTTTTTTATTCTTTCTCAAAGAAGTAATATTCACAAAAAAATAAGAAACTAGACTTTATTTATAGTGGTATTAGTGGCTTTTTTGTAATCCATTTTATTCTTGCAGTTGCTGTTTTTCTTGTAACTATTTGTAAAGAGAAAGGTATCCTGCCTTTTTTTCTTTTTTTTTCTCAGAATATGCTCTATTTATTAGGTCTTGAACTAACTTCTCAGAACAGTCATTAATAACATCAAGTCCCTTAACTGTTGCTCTAAGTTCTAGATAAAAATCGTTGAATTTTCAAAATTCTTGTGGAGCCTTCATCCATTGAACTTCTGCCTTTCCATGCCTGAGCATGCCAAAAACTAGACACGACTTTTCTATTATTAATGGATTCAAAATAGGAGGCTTATCTTTACTGAAGTTGAGGCTATTTAAAATAGCTTGGTCCATTACCTGGCGCTCAATAGGAAAACTGTCACTTGGACATCTTTGTAAACTATACAGTTTTTAGGCCATATCACCACATTTGCTACATTCTTTATCTGTTAGAGCAAAAATTACTAAAGTAGGATCTAGATACCAAGTATGTCTGAGAATAGAGTTGCAACAGCTTGAGAGCCAAGTAGGTTCCATTCCTTAAACTATTTCATTTGCCAGTAAGCTTTAATATCCTAATAAATAATATCCATTAACATTTTGAACTTTAATCAATAATGAGCTTTTTAACTTATTAAAAAAAATACTAAAAGACTGATACCTGTGTTGGTGCCAAAGAACTTAACTCTGCTTTTAGAAACCACTCTGTATAGAAAAAACAAATGAATAAAGCCTTACCAATTTTTTTTTCTTTATGTTTGTCAGTCATGTTTTGGATTTCATTCATTAAAAGATTTTTATTAGTTTAAACCTTTTCTCATAAATCTTAAATGGTCAACTGGTTCTGGTATATGAAATTCAAACCTATTTGATTTAGAACCATTAAAGTAAGTTCAGATTATATATCCATGTTCCAGGTGGTATTATTCTTTTCAGTTCCTTAGTTTTAGCATGGATTCCAATTTTGTTTTAAAACTTCGAATAGTTTCTTTTGTTGGTTTTAGTTGGTTTTCTGGACCAGAAGTTTTGCTGCTTGGGTAAATCTTCCAGAAATGGGCTATGTGTCGCTCAATTACATGTCTACATGCAATCAACAACAAGGGACGTTGAACTTGTTGAATTATTCTCATGCAAGTACCTTGCATTTTTCCTGTTTTAATCCAAAAAATTTCATCAATTCTACAATACCTTATGTTTTAATCCAAAAAATTTCATCAATTCTACAATAGCTTGCTTTTGATTAACCCCTGATCAAGAATCTATCGGAGGAATGCCAAGTAGTTCTGTTTTCACATCAATCTTTACCAAAACTGCAATTCTTCCTTTTTAAATTGCTTTCCCCATCGGAAATATGAAATGATGAATTTGAAAAATATTACTTTAGCCCTGACAGATATTATTTTTTCTGCAGTTCTATAAGATGTGGATTTAGAACAATTAAAGTTTGCTACAGAACCACCAGCCATGACAATAACGCTTGTAATCAATGCTGTATGTTGTTGGGGTGTTATACCTTCTCCCACTGCTGTATGAGCAGTTGACTAAGGAATATTTTTAGGAAGAAGATCAGAATTTTGAATATTAGAATGCGTATTAAAATCGAAGTCAACATCTGTTTCCATGTCTAATTTGTTGCTAGTGTAACTAGTAGAACTTTGATTTGATCTAAATCATTCTTATATAATTCTGCTGACGGATTTCTATTTAACTTTGATGTGCATCTTTTACTTCTTACTACAGAACACTCATATCTTTTATCTCCAAGACATTCTTTTTTTTCACTAAGCTGGTCTTTTATGAAAGCAATATTTTTTTTTTTCTCTTTGACTTTCACTTTTCTCATTTTATCTTTTAATATTTCTTAAAACATAACATGAGAATGTTCTCCAATCCAAAATATCTTATTCATTTTCTCTTCAAACAAATGTCTTTTTTTTATTTCAGTAGGATTTGTTCTGTTTCTTTGATCTTTTAATTTCATCCACTCCTTCAACAGTTTCTCAATTTTAATCCTGTAAAAATATTATTTAACAGCATATTTATGTAATAAACATAAAATAATTTAGAATTTATTGAAAATATTACTTTAGTTTTTGTATTGTAAGCACTTTAAATCCACCAAGTATCTAAGGTACCCTTTGTTTGGACAGTATACAGCAGTTGGGCTGATCAACTAGACAATTGGGTATAAAAAAAGTACTTTTGTTAGGACAACCAACTAAGAACTTTACTTTTTCTTCACACTTTGATTTTCATAGAAAGAGAATTTAAAATTTTTGTAGAAAGAGATAATATTCAATAATTTCTTTAGCAGTTTCAAATTTTTTTGCTGGAAGTTGTTCGATTAACTTTTTAATTAAAAATATTCTATCCAATCTAATACTTCTAACTTTTTTTTTGGTGGCATTATATTAATTATTTAAGTATATAATCTAAAAAAAAATTAATATAAAATGCATTTCAAGAAAACATTTTAATTACTAAAAAATTTAAAACTTTATTTATAAAAATATTAAAAAAATGTACAGTGTAAAAATATTTTTATTTAATATTTATGGATTTAGGGTTTTTGAAACAATTTTTTTGAGTTTTTTATTTATTTTTGAGAGTAGAGTCCATTTTAATTAGATTAAGTCTTCACAAATTTAAATATAAAAAAAAATCAAAAACTTTAATATCAAGACTTCCTCCAAACAGTTTTAAAAATAGTACAAAATGATTTAAAAATTGCCCCTTTTACCCCCTGAAGGTACCCTTAGGATTTTCAAAAATTTAAAAAAAACTTTTTTTTTAGTACTAAATCACGGTTTGGGCACATGATAAGCTAGGGCTCTTTTTTTGGAGACATGGTCTTTATATATATATATATATATATATATATATATATATATATATATATATATATATATATATATATATATATATATATATATATATATATATATATATATATATATATATATATATATATATATATATATATATATATATATATATATATATATATATATATATATATATATATATATATATATACATCGCTCTTTTATAATTTTTTTTTATAAAATTAAGCGATGTTTTTTATATAAAGTAACAACTTACGATTGTTTTAAAGGGAAACAAATATTCTTTATTTAACTAAGTTTGCAAGTTTTAGTTTTACTTAAGCTTAATTATTTTATAAATAAAAAGTTAATTTTTTTAAGACCTATTTTCTGTTTCGCGTAGTTTAAAAAGTTTCAAATATTTGAAGCAATTCTTCTTAGTAAGATAAACAAATGAAATAATTAAATCATTGAATTACTATAAAAATTAAATTATCAAGATAGAAATCAACTAAAATAGTTAAAAATACTTAATAACCAGGAAGCGAAACTGCTTCACAATATCGCTGATGATGTTTAGTGAGTGGGCGTTTTAATTTTAATTAGTATTTAATGCAGAAAAAAGTATAACGAGTTTTAAGAATGGCAGCTTATGCGAAAATGATTAGAGTTAGTAAACCAATATCTAGAAACTTTTCTTCATATCTAATTATTTGCTATATATATTTGTGTTCTGTCGTGACCTCAGGCGCGTTGGTTGTTCATCCGCGAGTTACTTTGTATGTGTTGTTTGTGTTTAGTAATCAGAAACTTCTTATATGTTTGTTACATAATTAGTTTTATTAACTTTACTGATTATAACTTCATTGAAAACGCAATTATTTTTGTAAGTCTTTGTTTAAATCATAAAAATTGCTTTAAAAGATACATTATGATAATAAACAAATACACAAAATTACATTTACATAAAGAATACAATCTCTTTTAAATTTTTTTTTTTTTTTAGTGTTTTTAGTGTTTGCAAATATTCTTTTTATTCTTTCGCACAAAGATGTTTTGAGAACATTCAAGTTTTTTATGTTTCCATGTATGTTCGTAAAACAAAAATTTTTTGTTTCGTACATAAACTTAAGTGTTCTCAAAATGACTAAAAAACCTGGCCAGTTTTACGCAACTAAATATAATTTCCGTGGTCAGTATTCGAGAGCAATAGCTTCCGCTTCCCGACCAAGCCTGATATAAACACACATATGTTGATTAAACTATTATCTGTATTTTAAATTAGTTTAACTTCAAATATTTTTATCAAAAGGTTTATCAAACAAAGAGTAACAATTGGGTAGTTATTGAGACATGGTCTGAAAGTCAGAAGAGTGACTCATTTGTTTTTACTGAAAAATTAGTTTCTGGTAAGTATACTGCTATGGCAACAGGGATCTATTATTTGTCTGCTAATGTTATTTTTAAAGACAGCAATGGACCAATTTATATTATGATAGCTGTCAATAATCAGTTATCAAAACGAACTGCTTTATATGCAACAAAAGGAAAATCATCAGTAGTTCAAGACTTAGTGTGTCTGGAGCCTTATTTGTTAAAAAAGGTATAGTTATTTATTTATTCATTGTTTGTTTTATTTTTAGTTTATCATATTAGCTTTTCAATTTTTGTTAAATGCAATATTTATTGAGAAATATTTATTAATAAATCTGATTGCATGACATTAATTAGTTGTTATTGGTGCAATTGAGTTAATACTGACATCAGTTTTTAGATTACTACTGATATTTTCTTTAGATTCTTATGTTAATGTTTATGTTATGATTGAAAATGATGATAGCTGGTCCGACGATTTATCAACTAAAACTATTAAAAATTGGTAATATAAAAATTGGTAATACTACTTTCAAAAATTTTTTATAATAATATAAAGTTTATTTCTTCTAATTTAAAATTTTTTTAATGGTAATAAATAATTAAATTAAAAATTTTAATAGCTGTTTTTACAACATTAACGTCTGTCATCACTAATAAGAAGATTTAGTGATAAAGATCATCCTCAATACACAATGAAGATTTACGGTGCTTTATACCTGTATAAAGGTCAGGAGCTATCGATTAGGGTATTCTTAAATTCTTTTTAGTTATTTTATTATTTCTGGTTTATTCATTCATTTTTAATAAAATTAATAACTTTACATTGTTTTTTTTTAATATTTAAATAATAAACTTTTCATGACTTGTGTTTATTCACTTTTTAAATAAATTAAACATGTTTTAAATTTTTTTTTTACATATTACCTAATTGTTTTATTTTGATATTACCTAATTGTTTTATTTACTTTAGGATTAAACCCTCAGCTTCAAATGCACAATGGGAAAATCTCCGCTCTTACAGTGGCTGGTCATTTTTCAGAATACCACCTTATTTGCCAATTCTGTCTGTTGGAACAGGCAAACCTATTGATTTACTTCCATTTATAAAACCTGGGTAAAAAAGTTTTATTTTAATGTTATTAATTTATAAATTTATATGGTTATATATAATACACATAATGTTATAAATTGTTTTAATAAATTAGGTTTTTATAAAATCCATATTATCTGTTGTTAATATTAAATGTTTTAAGTTGATTTAATTAAGTTCTAAGTTATATTAATAATTTTAAACACTGTCCTTGCATAAGAATGGCTTGATAAGGTTACATTATTCTCTAAGCATGCAAAAGTCAATGATCTTTTAAACTGTGATATATGTTTTTATAAAATAATAAAATTATTAGAAATTATTGTAATTAATTCAATTTTTACTCAGTGATCAATTTTTACTCAGTATTACTTACCATATAACTTAACTAATCCCTGTTGTTGTTATTTTAAAAGAAATTATTATTTTTTAGGTATTATACAAGACTAAGAAATTGGAATGTTATAATGTCTACTGTTCTTGGTGTTGATGGAGAAGGTCTTAACCAAAGGGATGGAGTATATACTGTTTTTTTAGATGGATTGTATTTAATATCAAGTACTTTAGTTATTAAAACAAACGAAAGTCAAATTTCCAATTGGTTTGATTTTTTTTTTTTAATTATTTTTATTATTTTGTTTAACAGATTTCTGTTGATGAATCCAAATATTAAGAACTCTGAAAGATAAATAAAAAGATGAATAAAAAGACATAATAGATAAAAGACATAAATAAAAGAGAGATAAGAGAGATAAATAAAAGTATAATGATTAATGTAAGAATTAATATAATATAATAAAAGAGAGATATTGAATAAAAAAGACTTGATAGATAAATGTGAGGTAACTTTAAGAATTCTATGATTAGGCAAACTTGTCAGTTCTATTGTCTTTGAGATGTTAAAATTTTCTAGGAATATAGATATTTCGTTGCTTCCATTTTTTTGACTGTTGGATGAAAATTTGGATTTTTGAGGTCAAGGAGTAATTACCACGACTACTGTTTTTATAAATAAAATAATGATGCATTATAGATTTAAAATAACATTCTAATAAAAAATTTTTTCTTTAAGAATAAAGATTGGTATCAATGCAGACTTAAGTGATTTTTCAGTGGTTAAATCTGGTATTGGTCCTTCATATCTATATCCTGTATGTTCTGGTATTTGTACTATTTCAATAACACAAGCAGTGCAACTTTTAGTTAGTCACACTGTTGCAATTTTTGTCCAATCTAATGCATTGACAACATATGTATCTGAGTTAAGCGTGTTTAGTCTAAAGCTTATTAACCCTTTGAGATCTTTAGACGTTTTCTCATGTCAGTTATCATCTGAAATACTGATAAGTTCTTCAGGAGATCAAAAAATAGTGGGATGGTCTGCTGTAGAGTCAATACATTACACAAACTTTAACGAAGCGAATGAATATATTATTTCTAAAGATGGTGTATATTTAGCTGCATTTTATATGGATCTTATAAATGTTTATGACTTTATCAGTATTAAACTAAATTTGGGTACATCTTTAATTAACCTTTTTGAGTACTACAATGAAGGATTGTTACCATTTAGTCTATCATCTACTACTGTGGTTTCTTTAAATGTTGGAGATGTGTACTCATTAAAAATTAATACTTTGACTGATAATTCATATTCTATTGGTAAGCCATCATCAACTTCGTTAACATTCATTGGCGATGATACTTATGGATTTTCTGCAGTGCAGTCTAGAATTAATAGTAATTTTTACAATCAAAGCAAATGGTTTTCTCATTAATGGCTGGATTATAAATCGAAGTTCTTGGTTATTTGAATATGGTCAGGGATTTCTTTCTAGACAAGATTATATTGTTGAAAAATCTGGATTTTACTTTATTACAGCAAATATAATATTTGATAAAGCTCTATATGAAAATATTTTGGAAATGGTTGTTGTTCTTAATAAAGTTGACACAGTTTTGTATGATCAAAAAATACTTTAAAATCATCCACAACATCAACGGTTCGTGGAGGAGTTTTTTTAAACAACTTAGATTATTTACAACTTCTAATAAGACTCAATTCTAACAATGATAATTTGATAATCAAAAGAGAGTCATCATTTTCAATTGTTCGAATTGGTAAGTACAAACTTTTATGTTAAATTTTTTTTGTTTGAGTAGGTAAGGACAGTTTTATGTCAAAAATAATTTCACTTTTCTTTGACAGAGAAAAGTGTATAAAGGTGGATTAACATAAAGGTTTTTAAAAGACAATTGCAATTATAAAATCTCATGAACCTGTTATTTAATGAAATTCAAATAAGTGCTAGTCCAAACAACCAGGAAGTTTTTGTATATATATATATATATATATATATATATATATATATATATATATATATATATATATATATATATACATATATATATATATATATATATATATATATATATATATATATATATATATATATATATATATATATATATATATATATATATATATATATATATATATATATATATATATATATACACTTGTATATACAAAATTTGCTTAATAAATAAAAAATAATTTCAGGATTTGATACCCTTTCAACAACTTGCGTTGATAATGGACCTAATATTCTTGGAAATCTGTCTCATATAAATGCGCTACTGAGTCAGGGTGAGAATTTGAATTTGGAAATTTCTGCTACTGGAAGTAATTTGACTTACCAATGGCTGAAAAACTTTGAGGTAAATAATTTTTTAAAGTTAAGCAAAATGAAATATTTTATGTTTATTCCATTCAATTTGCTTTTGAATGGCAATTTCCCCCCTCAAAAAAATGTATTGTTTATTAAATTACTAGTTTTTTATATTTACAACTTATAATGTTTTACTACTCCCATATCTCCTAAGTAATCTTTTGAGTCAAATTTGGAAATATGGCAAATATGGAAGCTTTTATTCCTACTTATTGGTTTTTCAAAAAAAATCTATAGAAGTGATAATAATAATAAAAAATATTTATTGGAGTGATAAATGGTAAAAAAGTAGGAGTGATAAAAAATCTATCGGAGTAATAAGAAAAAGATGTTGCAATTTTGAGGGGCATGATGGGAATTTTGTAACTTTGTATGTAAAGTATGCAAAATGTACTTGAGAAGCCTGAAAAGGTTTCCATAACTTTTTAGAGGTGTTGTTGTTACCTTTATTATTATCTTTTTACCTAAATTAAGGTTTTGTTATGGTTGGATATCATGATTGGATGGCTCAATTTGATTGAATGGATTTTGATTATTAATTTAATTATACTTATTAAATCTAGTTTATTTTTATTTTAGCCTTTAAAGGGGATGACTTCACAGGTTTTAAAAATGATAAATTTAAAATTTAGTGACAGTGGATCATATACTTGTGAAGTAATTCAAAATACAATAAGAGTGTCCAGCAGTATTGCAAAAATAACTGTTTTGGGTAAGTATTGTCAATTTTTATAATATTAGTATTTTAAATCTCTTCAAAAAACAATTTTTATGTAAAAATTAGGGATGTACCGAAGCTAAAATTTTGCCGAAGCCGAAGCTTCGGCCGAATTCACTATATATGCTTAAAATTTAATCAGCATTCAGATTACTGTAAAACAAAAAAGGTACCAAAACTAAGGTCCTTGACTAATAATAAAGAAAAAATGTTTAAAAATGAGGATGCCAGCCAGGGTTGCTGTCTTGGCAGGGCAAAAGCTCTCAGCGCCCCTATTTGAAAGTTTCTTATTATGTCGTTTCTGATACTTGACCGCACCGAGCGTTTTTTTTTAAACTTGAGCTTTTTTAAAATTTTCCTATTTCTAGTTCTACTTTTTCTGTGTGCAAACCATATTAATGTTATATGGTGCACAATATCAGTAACTCACATTTATTTCCAACTATTCCCAATATTCTTCTAAGATTATTGCTATTTTTTTGATCTTTTAGAGCCTCACCGTTTTTCTATGTAAACATCGTTTTCTCTTTAATTCTATATCTAATCATCTTATTTTTAATCCTCCATTCAATCATCTTGTTTGCTTTATCTAATTATTGTGTTCTAGCTGAACATCGTCAAATTTTATTCCCCTTAATTTACTGTTACGCATCTTTTCAAGTGCTGTATATTTTATTTTTATTTTTATGCACCTTTTGTTAATAGAAGTGGATAAAAATCTCTGAACATTACTCTAGTAAATTTATCTTTTACACTTGATCACTCTTTCTTTAAATAAACACTCTTAGCTGATCTAGTTGTATCTACAACATAAAAAATCTTACAAACACACTTTATCTTTTTATTGCTATTTATTTCAATATCTTTTTTTTACTTCTCTGTATTCATTAAACGAACAATTTCTAAACTAAAAAAACAAACAAGTTAAGACTATTTTGTATTCCACTGCAACTGTTGTGAACCTGCTGCAAAAAAAAAGTACAATTGATAGATTTCTCTCTAACTTCTTTTTTACGCACTTTTAAGTTTTTTTTTTTTTTTTTGATTATTTTTAACTTTACATTGATTAACTTTTTCTTTAGCTTCTATTAATCTTTTACACTCTGAAATCTTAGTTTTCATTCTTCTTCTGTCTCTGTAATGGATAAATCTGCATCAGTATCTGAAATCAAATATTAACTATCTGTGATAAAAGCTTCCATAGTAATCTAACAACTCTGTAGAGTGAGCTTTAAATAAAATGATAAATAGAATACATAATACATTTTTTATTTACAATTATTTTATTACTTACTTTGTATTTAAAAATAAACAGGGACTGAGCAGGCTGATATTTATTTGATTTAAATTTTTTATCTAATTTAAATAAGTTTTGATGAAAAATATAAGAGCTCAAAGTAATCAAAGCTTCAACCTTTAATTTATTTGAAATAAAATTTAAAAGTCTTCATAATATCATAAGAAGAAACCAGAAATAGGTTTAAATGTTTAATATATAAATTCAATTTAGAAGTATTAATAATGTTAATAAAAAAGCATGAATAATTATCATTGTTTTTCTTTTTCTTTTAATTTATCTAGTTTTTGCTGACTTTTTTTTTTCTTTTTTTCTTCTCATTTATATTTCATTTGCTTTTCTTCCTTTTTTTTGTTGAGAACGTAATGTTTTTTATGTGTCACTCCATTGACTAGTTTGTATCTATATAAGCGACACCTAACCAATTTCTGTAAATTTACGATGAAAATTTGTTTATTTTTATTAAAATGGTTAAATAAAATTTTAAGAAATTAAACATACACAATTTAAAATAGTAGCGACTTATCTTTAATCTTCTTTAAAGTGAGATTACTAAGGTTTATAGGTCAAATGTTGAAACCAAATTTTGTTCTATTTGCCGTAATCCCACACAATAATTAATATGAATTTGTTACATAATACAAATTAAGGTTTTTTTTCCATTTTATTTTTAAAAAGTTTTAATTTGTTTTAAATTATAAGGTTTTTATTCTGCATAAAAAAGCTGATTCAGTTCATCTAAAGTCACACTTGGAAGCCTTCAAAGTGTGTGAGGACCTTCCCTAATTTTATTATTATTTTCAAAATATTTCTAATTATTTATTATTATCCCCTCCATAACAAGACACTTGGGAGTAAATATTGTTAAGTATATGGTATAGACTCCAACTTTAATTACTTAAAATTTTTTGCCGAAGCCAAAAATTCGGCAAAAAAATTGACCTGGCTTTGGCCGAACCGAAGCCTCAGCATGCCGAAGCTGAAGCCGAAGGTTCGGTACGTCCCTTATAAAAATTTGTGAAAGTTAGTTATGTTAAAAATATTATCTAAAATTTTTTTGATCCGTATCCTTTTTTTTTTAACCCTTCTTCTGATTATAGTTTAACAGTAATGGAGAACCTAAAATTAAGAAGAGACCTAAAATTAAGAATCTTCTGATTATTTCAGCAAGAATGCAAAGTAATGAATCTAATTTTGAGGAAATGTTTTTTGATATTATATCAGGTAAAATTAAATTGTAAATCATATTTTGGTTATATATAGTACACATTTAGGTGGTATGTGTAGATATTTAAAAAAAAATGTTTTTCTGACACTCTAATATATACTTATACATGTTTTATATATATATATATATATATATATATATATATATATATATATATATATATATATATATATATATATATATATATATATATATATATATATATATATATATATATATATATATATATATATATATATATATATATATATATATATATATATATATATATATATATATATATATATATATATATATATATATATATATATATATACACATCTGTATATATATATATGTATATATATATATATATATATATATATATATATATATATATATATATATATATATATATATATATATATATACATCTGTATATATATATATATGTATATATATATATATATATATATATATATATATATATATATATATATATACATATATATATTTACATATATGTATATATAATATAAATATATATATGTATATATATATATATATATATATATATATATATATATATATACATATATATATATATATTTATATATATATATATATATATATATACATATATATATATTTATATATATATATATATATATATGTATATAATATAATAAATTAGTAAATATGTATATATATATATATATATATATATATATACATATTTACTAATTTATTGCTGGAAATATTAGTATTCATATGTTTCTTTTTATCTATGTTTCTTTTTTTAGAACTAACAATAATGTACAGCATACCTCCCAACCAAAATTTTTCTGAAATGTTTGATATTGGCATTTTAACAGGAGTTATTTTACCCAAAAAGCCTCTCGATTATGAAAAAGCAACATTTCATAAGTTCATTGTCCAAGCTATTTCAGTCGGTGCAAATGCTGCAGCAAATGCCAATATTCTTGTAAAAGTTCTTGATGCAAGCAACAACTTTCCTTTTTTTGTAGATTCTTATAAAAGCATAAACATAGAGGTAAAAGTAAGTGTTAGGAGCATAGTTTATAGAGTGTCAGCAGTTGATAAAGATTCAAGGATGAATGGAGTAATCGGATACAAAATTAAATCTGGAAACATTAATAATATCTTTGATATTGATTCTACTACAGGTAATTTTTTTTTATTAAATCAGTGTTTTACAGCAAGATATGGGATTGCACATCTTTATATGATCACTCAATTTTTGTTTTGCTGACTTGAACTTCTAAATAGTTTAATAATTTTCACGCATTTTAATTATGATGTTTAAAAAGCAAAATTAAACTGAATAATAATGAAAATGAAAACCATAAACTGAAAAAAGAAAAATTTTAACCTAAGTTAAAATATTAACCTAACTTAATCTAAGTCACAAAATTAAGGTTTTTTTTTTTTAATTTAAAGGTTTTGCTTAATAGACTTGCTTAGTTATTTATTTTAACTGATTTATAAACTTACTTTTTTACTTCTGTGTATTTTCTCTTACATTAAGTTTAGTTTTTATTTTAATTTATTTTTTATTAATTATTCACCTCCCAAAGCCAAGAAGGTCACTACAGTCGAGGAGACTACTTTTGTGGTTACAAAATCTCTATAATTCTGAAACACAAACCTAGAAAAATAATGCAGCTGCGCAGAGAAAGAAGTATAGCAATAAATATTTATATACATATAAATTTTCAGCTTAAGATAATTATCTCAAGAAAGTATTTTAAAAAGTAATTATTAAATGTACTTTGAATGTTTAGAGTTTGCAGTTAGATATTTGCTTTTATTGACAAAATTGAATTTATTAGAACCATTCAATAATGAGAAAGCAACAAAGCAGTTGCCATAGCTTCTTGACTCCACTCCACTAATGTTTTTTTTTACATGAATACTTTATTTGAAGTAACTTCTGAAGCTTCTCCAAGCTCATCACACAATCTATATTATTTTGAATAAATTTTACTGTAAGCTCAGCAAAATTTAATTTTTTTTTACGAAATATTTTTCTCAAAACAAAAAATACATTAAAAATTTTTTTTATTGTTTTAAGAAATAAATATCCGACCCTTTTGATTTTTAAAAAATTCTTTAAACTATGCTAAGTAGATTTACATTTTTGCTGTGATTTCTGATATATTGCTAGCAACTTTTAACAAAGATTTTAAAAGTTGTACCTGCATGGTCATATAAAGATGTGCGATTGAACATCTTCCTGTGAAACTTTGTAAATGTGTTTAAAGTTTGTTTTTTATAAGTGCAAATTCTTTTTAAAATCACAATTTAGGTGACATACGCATTAACAACTCATTGGATACAAACACTGAACGTTTTACCTTGTATATAATTGCATTTTACATTGGCAGACCTTCTATAGAAAGTATACCGTTTATTCTGGACATTTATATCATAGGCGTGAGTGAGATTGTTTTATTATTTGCAGTAAAATTATTTGATTTTTCCAGTAGAAATAAAATTAAAAATTGTAATGTATTTTTAAAAGTTCTTATATCAAATTTTTCTTTTTTTAATATATATATTTTTATATAGTTTTTTATAATTTACCAAAAAAAATTAATTTATTTTAACTTTTTTTTTCTAATTTTTTTAAATTAAAATTAATAAAATAGATTACTAAAAATTAATTGTTGTTTCAAATTTCATTGTTAAATCAGTACCATAAGTTAATAAAATGATAAACGAAAATTTTTAAGATATTGTTTTTTTTTTTATTTGAAATTAGAAATTTTTTTTAACAGCATTTATGTAAGATGGGGGTGTGTTAGTCCTAAAATGCAGGATTTTTCAAAAAACACTCAATTTTTTTTATAAAGGAAATTATAAAGTTTTATAAGTTTTTTCCAGTGAGAAGAACATTTTCAGTGAGACGAACAACATTGCAAAACAAACATTCATAACAAAAACAAGAAAGTTTTCCTTTTTCAACTCAACAATAAATAACAATTAGTTATAATGGTTGATAATTTATTTAAGATAATAAAGATAAATTATTATTTTGAAATAAAATTTTTTTAGTTTAACCTTTCACACCTTTTCAGTGAAATAAGTAATATTATTATTTGAAGGTGAATGGTCATATTATTATTTGAAGGTAACTGATATTTGAAACAAGTTTTAAGTTATAAATAAGTTAGTTTTTCGATTTAGTTATGGTAAACAACAATTTTATGAAGTGTCTGACATTATTATTAATCAAATGTTGTGTGATGTTCAAATATTATAGGCAAAGTTATGTTTTTAAATTATTCTATATGCACACTTTACTTTACAACTTCACTGCTCAGAGTAGCTTGAGCATTCTAAGTAGAGTTTTAAAGTAGATTTTTTTATGGAAGATATTTGTTTAAAAAACAAAAAGTTTCATTTGAATAATTTTGACTGACTTAGCTTCCGTATTAATTTTACTTCTATAGTTAAACTGATAATTGATTAAAATTTAATTTTTAGATGTATATTTAGGTTAATCAAATTATGTTTTAATCAGTGCGTGTGTGGAAGGGAAGGGGGACATATTTAGTTTTTTTGTTAAAGTAAGCTTGAAGTGCCTTAAACAACTAAAATTGAAAAATTTGATTGAGCTTTTTTATTAGCATTGACTTAAAAAATAAAAACATAATAAAACCCATGTTCTAAAAATTATCTCCACTTTTCAAAGCAAGAGGTGCTTCTTTAATGATAATAAAAGCAATGATGATTTAAGAAAACGATTAGGCGTTGTGGGTATATCTGATTTGGTGCCTCAGGTAAGATTTAGGTGGTTTAGACATGTTAGATGTATTTCAAATTTGTTAATCTAATGCGATGAAATACAATGGGTATTGTATAGAAAAACTCAAGATAAACTTCTTTCTGGAAAATATCTGACAAATGTTGAAGTAGAAAATAGTACAGTAAACAGTATGGGTTCAACATCACTGAATTTTCTTACTGAATATCATGCTATTGAACGCTGAGAAGCAATTGCTCTAGATAATAAAATTTTTACACTGGTGTTAACAATGGTTTAGTTGTTTGATTAGAAAAGGTTTTTAAACATAGCATTCATAAAGTGGGTTGCTTACTTTACCATGGTTACATGGTACCTCTTTGTCATCTTATATCTGAAAAAGAAAAATTATTCATCCTAAAAACTATAAAGGCCCTACTGGTAAACAAGTATTTGAAGTTTTCATGTATGAACAACCTTTTATTAATTGAAAATTTTGTAAAATCTTCAGGGTCACTACTGCTGCTTTTTTCAAGAAAAGTTTCTAGATGCTTTGCTACAAGACAATGTGAAAGTTTTAACCGTGCTCTATTTACATAACTTTCAAGTTATGGTAAACACAACATGAAAGTTGTAAGAGCCCATGCTCTTGATCAAATTCTTCAAACTATGCTATTCAAGGAAATCAATCAGGATTTTAAAAAATAAGTCAAGGGTTTACCCTTGACTTATTGTTTAAAATCCTGATTACCCATTTGATTTACCCATTTGATTTACCCTTGAACTTCAAAGCTGAAGTTTAGAGCAACTATTTTAGGGAAATCAATCCCATTTCAAGTCAAAAATTAAAGTTAAGCTAGTTATATATTTGAACTACAATATTGAAGTTTGGAATTTGTTGATATTAATGTTGCTTGAAATTGACGTTGATTAGAATTTGAGCATCCTACTTCATTTTTTATTACTTAATGTAAGTTACAAACTATTTTAACTGCTAGAAAAGTTTATCTCTGCCAAACAAGTCACAATCGGTGGAAAGAATCGTAAAACTTTCATCTGAAACCTTAAAAAATGTTTATGGAAGGATGAAGAGGCATAACTGCATGCTGATTAAATGCGACCATCACATACTTTTTTCAAAGTTATTTTATCATCTTCTGTGTTTCAAACATATATTAAAAATGACAAACATTTCTTTAAAATATTGTTTTTTGTTTCTTCCAATATGAGAAAAATAAAAAGTTGTTGTATTGAAGTAATTAATGTTAATAATTAGATAAACCATGTGCAGGGTGCAAAGATGTGAGATAACCAAAATCAAAATCAGAACTCTCTGTACAAATTTTCAAATAAAAAAGAATCTTGGACAAAAAAAAAAATTGGGTAATACTTTTTTCAAAAAAATTGAAGTGATTTCTCAAAATTACCTTAAGTCCAAGTTAGCTAATTTTCAATAATCAGAACCGGGTTTGTATATCTGTATTCTGCAAGTTCTAAAGCGAGCCAATTGGTTCAGAAAAAAAAGTATTTTTAGACAGTGTTTAATCAGCATGCTCATGAGTATTGCAATTTTTATACTGCTGGTATAACTTTTTTTTTTTTTAACTTTTTCTTAATACTAAAATTCTCTCTAAATGTATATCTAAAATATACATTTAGAGAGACCAAAAATGTATATTTTTTTTTTTAGAAAATAACTTTTTATAAAACTTAAAACTTTTTTTAAATAGAAATATAAACATTTTTAATATGGTTATGTTACTAGATAAAATATTATGCTCCTGCATTCCCACCATCATCTTTAACTGTATCATTAGTCGATACTTCCATACCTAATCAATCTGTATATCAACTGGCAGCTAATGATCCTGATCCAGGTCCTGATGGTTATCTTAAATACAATATTGTAAGTGTCAACAACAATGGGTTATTTTACATTGACTTAACAGGTTGTTTTTTTTTTATATTTATTTCTTTTATAAAGAAAAAAAATCTTTTTTTTTCAATTTTTTAACTATGAATGCGTGTTTAGATAAGAACTGTGACACCACACTAAAATAGCTGCTACTGAGCGCTTCAGTACATTTATTGACTATCTTATAGCCTGTTGCCACAAAGGAGTGTTGCTACATCAGCTGAGGGTTTGGCATGGGGCAGTAATCTTTTCTTCCAATATTTTTTGTTTTCTTGCTTCTTTTTCTAAAACTATTGTATGCTATAAAGGTAGGAAAAACTAGTAACAATTTATTATCTAAATATGCTATAGTAGATAGATATATAGGATACAAATTTAATTTAGAGTTTTTAAAAAATAATAAAAGACATTAATTACAAATAAAACCTTTTATTAATGCAAATATCTGCTTGACAAAATAACAAAGAAAAATTTTACAAAATAATAAAAAAAAAATCTTATAGAAACATTGGTTTCTGAATTGAAATAAGTATTAATTTAAAAATTGGTAATTTTTCTAATATCAAATTTAACAAGTTGGAAAATTCTTATAATCCATAAAGTATCCTAATGTTGAATTATTGTATATTATTATAAATTTAAATCTCTCCTCCCCTTCCTTATTGATTCTTAAAGCAACTTGCTATTTCTTCTAATGAAAATATTTTTAACTCATCTAAACATACTCTTAAAAAAATCAGATTTAAAGAATTTGATAGAAGAATTGCAAAAAAGGAATTTTTGCAATTCTTCTATCAAATTAAATTTTTTTTAATTTTACACTTTGTTTATGTCATAAAATACAGTTGATTACAGTACGATTCCATGACATAATAAATTATGCAATATATAAATTATAAAAAATAAAATGATAAGTAAAATAATAATATAATGAACAGGTTAAAATAAAATAGCATAAAAATTGTAATTATAAAATTATAGGATGTATAAAATTTATCAAAATATAGTATATGGATGTATAAAATTTAACACAATTTTTTCAAATATGTTGTATATTATTAAAGTTTTTTTAGAGCATTTTTATAAATATAATTATAGGAGTTAATACAATAGTTATGTCAGTTATGACTTCCTGTAATTTTGTTAGCTTGTTTCTCCATGCCGCGTTCTTGTTTGCTAAGGTTTTAGAGAGAGGCTTGTAACCACAAAAAAAAGTCTCCTCAACTGTAATGGCCTTCTTGGCCTTGAAGAGGTACACAATATTAAAAAATATATATAATTTTTATATATATTTTTTAATATTGGTCACAATAAGGGGAGAGTCTCAAGCTTAGCAGGTAGCGTAAGTCTAAAAAAAAGTCTAAAAACGTTTACAATGCGTTTTTGGACCTTTCCTTGAAAAGAAAGAGCCGTATTAGAAGTGCCAGTCTAAATAAGACAACAGTGTTTTATACACGGGCGAATAAGAGATTTGAAGAGGTAGAGAATGAAATCATAAGTAAGAATAAGGCAAACACAATTAATAGAAGCAACCTTAGCAGATGCTGGTTTAGCAATTGATTGTATATATGGTTTCCATCAGAGGTTGTGATCAATGGTCCAAGAAGACATAAAAATAAAGACTTAGTGAGAGGGTTGCCTTTAATCTATATAGAAACGTTGACAATATTGTTTAGTTTGTTTGTTTAGTTTAGACAGTTGTTTTCACTTATCTGAAATTCTTTTCCATTATTACCTGTCTTTTAAATACTTTAATATTTTTGAATACTTTAATAGTTGAATAATAAAAATAAAAAATAATTTTATAATTACTTAAAAAGGATTTTTTTTGTTTTTCCTCCTATGTATACCTCCTATGTATATGATACCCTTTTGATAATACCCTTTAAAATTCTAGAAAAATGTTATTAATAAAAAATGTGATAAATGAATATTCTAAGCTTAAGACCGAAGTTAGGTGATTTTACCGTATACAAAACCAGCTATTATACAAAAAAATCCCTAATAAATTTTTTTTCAAATTTGTAAAAAAAATTTTAAGTTTATGTTGCTAGGAGTTACAATTGTCTTGAATCTTTTAAATAGAAAGTGTTAATTAGAGGTATCATGTTTTTTTTTGTGTAAATGGTTTTTATAAGATCATAAATTACTTTCAATTTTCAGTTCCAGAAAAATAAAAAAATGGAAAATAGGCTCCATAGTTTTAATATTCTTTTGCATTCATAAACATGTTTGTTGATCTATTATCTGTAGTGTTAGCATTACTAACACAGATTTTTGCTATTACTGATAATGTTAAACACTCTGGATAATAGATCACATTTTTGTTATTACAAGTAATATTTATAGTATATGGCTTTTTGTCTTCCATGTAGTACCATCGGATGTCACAAAGCTTTCTACTTCTTGTCAACATAACTTGCAAATGTTTCATCAAATACCTTTAAGTTTAAATAATCCTGTTTTTTTTTTAACAAGTCACAATTTAAATATTGGCAAAAGTGAGTTGTCTAGGTAATTTTAATGGTTGTTTGTAAGCTACTACTGGTTTGTAAGCAACTATTTGAAAAAACTTTTTTTAATCTCTTATTAAATGATAAGCTGAATATAAGATTTTTATTAACAAAACTGAATAAAAGTTTTGTTTAAAATGGGTTGACAATTTACATTACTATTAAATGTAGTAACTAAAGAAAAATTTCTTTTGGATTTTTTGTGGGTGCTGGTCCTTGTAGTTTTTGTAAAAAGCTTTTTTTATTAGTTTTTTAAGTTATCTTTCAGCCATAATTTTATATATATATATATATATAAATATAAATTTTTTATATGTATCTATCTATCTATATATATATATATATATATATATATATATATATATATATATATATATATATATATATATATACATAAAAAAATAAGAATAACAGTGATTGCATCACTGTTATTCTTATTTTTTTATTGTATTCACTAATGCCGGGCAAGACCACTGCAATAGTTAAAGCTATTTTTTTTTGTTTTTTTGTTTCTGTTGTTGTTCTTATGTCAACCCTTCAACTCCAAAACAACCTTTGCCAGACAAGGCCATAATACAAAGAAGCATATTGATAATTAAATTTTCCTTATGTAAAAACAAATATAAAAAGTAATAATATTTAATGAAAATTATAAATAATAACTAAATTTTTAAGTTTAAAATTTTTTTATCCTGTTCAAATTTTAGTCTTGGTTTACTCTCAGTTAGCTCCTACAACATGGCATGAAGTTAACACTAATGTTAACAGCCCAAAACTAATACGATATATTGCAATTGAAAAATTGTTTCCTCAAAATAGAGTTAGACGCTCAGTTGTTAACACTACTGATAGTTTTATGGTTGCGATAGGCAAAAACATAACTTGTGCTGCAATAAAGACTAAAAAACTCCCCTCAATTTGTAATGGGCCTTTAAAGTCAGGATTCACTTATAGGTATTATTAGATTTTTGTTGATTTTTAGTACTTTATTTAACAAGTCATAATAAAATAAGCTAATGAAGAAGCATTTTATTTCAGATTGTGTTTAAATTAATGTTAAAATTTGAAGTTTTTAACTTGAAATAGTTAAACATCTCTATGTTTATTTCACATATTGTTTATTACATAGTGTGCATTATAAGTTGTACCCAATATAACCAATGGTGATTTTGCATTTTTTATGTAATTACCTTTTTATGTAATTTAATTACATATATTGTCAAAGTATAAGTTTGTGTACAAAGTGATTTTAACTCTCAATAAACTCATCTTTAAATAAATTAAATTGTACATAAATTTTTCTGTAACTTGAAGTGCTTTTATAATTCTTGTTAATATCTAACATTTAGTTACCTTTTTCTCATAAAAGTCAAACTATTTTCTTTATATCTCAGAGGTTTTATTTCTATAGAAATTTGCTCTATATTCTTAAGTTACATTTATTTCAAATATATTCTTAAATATATATGGAATAGGTGAACCTCTTTACTTATGGAACAGTCAACTTTTCTTAGAGAAGGAAAACTTTAGTATAAGAGCACCATTTTAAATGTAGATAAGTTTGTAAATCTGATGGTTAAAGAAGTATCATAAACTCACAAAGCATTTAATTATTTGAAAACTTAAATATTTTTGAGAAATAAATTGGGTTTAAAGAAATTCTGCAAGATCTAGAATTTTTACAATCATACCTGAATAATTAGAATATTATTTTGCAAAAGAAAAATAACAATAACCTACTATATATAAAATAGTTTATAGCTTATAAACTTATTTGTCACCAACTAATTAAAAAGTATTATATTTTAACGCATACAGAGGGAAATCTGTGAACAAAAGATATGAGTTATTTATATATATATATATATATATATATATATATATATATATATATATATATATATATATATATATACATATATACATATATGCATATATATAAATCTATCAAGTTATTGCACTGATAAATCAAATCACTTTCTGAAAAAAAGTACTGAGTTCTTTCAAGACAATTAAAAGTTTTTAATTGAGTAATTAAGTAATTAATTACTCAATTAAGATTATTTGTTAAGAAATATAAAATATTAAGTTTTTTAGTTTTGAAAAACATTTTGCTCAATTGAATTTCTTTTATCTTTTTAAGTCACACAAAATTAGTGTGGTTAAATATGGCTAACCATGTTTAGAATTCACATTAAGAACTTTGAGTAAAGACAGCTTTTTTGACAGTGGTTGTTGTTGTTGTTGTTGACAACCGGTAATTATTCTTGTACAACATTCATTTTGCAATTTTTAGTTTTCAATTTAACAGTTAAATTCATAAGTTAATTCATAATAAAATAAATAAAGTTAATTCAATTAAACAAAGTAAAAATCTTCAAATCAATTTTTCAAAAAAAAATAAAAAAATCAAATGTATTCGTTGGAAAGAAAAGACTTAAAAACCGTCCCTTATGTCAAGTGCTACTTACAGTTAAAGTGAGGTTTTAATTCAAAAAATTTGGTTATTGAATAAAAAATACACGCGCAGCGGCTGATTGATGATAATCAATCGATTGATGTGAAATCTTTTTGAGTCAATTGTTATGAGTATAATAATTGTAAAATTATCTATCCATAACAATTTAATGACCCAAAAAGATTTTTAAAAATTGTTTTGGGATTATAACTAATTTTCATCTTTATTTTAGGAAAATTATGGAAAATTGTTTTCATATTATTGTGTAACTAATTTTCATCTTTATTTTACCAAAATTATGGAAAATTGTTTTCATATTATTGTGTAACTTTTTGTTTTAACTGTTTTTATATTATTATGTTAACTGTTTTCATATTATTGTGTAATTTTCATCTTTATTTTATGATATCTTTTAATTTCTAAGTTTTGTTTATATAGACACGTGATCACACGCACACACGCACACACACACTAACACTTGCATAAGAAAATTTATGGGAACTATGAAGTAAAATACTGATTGCCAGAATTATTGCAAACTAAGTTTTATTTTTTGTAAAAACTGGGAAGAAGCATGAGGGCAGTGGGTATCTTGTTCAAGATTTTCATAATTTTGTTAGCTGTTTGCTTTATTATATCAGTCTTGTCAAGCTCTTAACTCCTCTTGCTTCAAGTAGCAATGTAATCATAATTTCTAGATTAATTCAATAGATTATTTCTGAATTGATATTGTTAAGTTAGTATGAAGTAGTATACTCTGAATTAGTTTTCTGATTTTTTTACCTTGTAAATGTATGAAGATGTCAGTTTACTATATATTTTTAATTGCTTACCTCTCATGTTTTTTTAGTGCTGTTTTGTTTATCAGTTTTTTATTATTATAATTTATTTTTTATTTACATTTTTTTAATTAAATATGTATTTTTTAAAGCTTACTCAATATTAAAAGTATATTAAAATAAAAATTTTACCATAAAAATTATTTTAGCCCTTTTTAATTAAGCCTAAGAGTACACCTGCTGATGCTCCATTTAATAGGATTTTTTTTGGTCAAGTATTTTATATTTATGTTTACTTGTGCAATGTTTTAGCTTTATAGTATTTTATTCTAAGTTGGGGTGATTTTTTTAGTTAATCCAGCGCACTAATAGTTTAATGTTGGTATTTTATGGAGTGACGGAGAAAACAATAAGAACTTTATAGTCTTAATCTTTATAGCCTACTTTATTTATATGGCCAGATATTTTGCATTTATTTTTAAAAAACCAATTTTAAAAATTTAAAAAAAGGTTTTAAAACTTATGGTTTCTTGAATATTTGCAGAATTAGTTTTCTTTATAAATATAAAAAGTTTCTAAAACAGTATATGTTTATATATTATCAAACAACACATAAGAAAAAAAGATATTAAAACAACTAAAATTCAAGTAAACAAGCATTATTTAAAAACAAAAACCATTATATAAAATGTTGCAAATTTCAAGTTTAACAAAATAAATATAATTGTATTATAGATGATTTAGTCATTAAGTTTTATTGAAATTTCTCTTTACTACTGCTTAATATATATATAAGATACACCTGTAGTGGCGAACATTTGTTTTTATCATTTTTGTTATTTTAATAATAATTGTTAAAATTACTTGTATTCGTAACACTTTAAAAAAATTTAAGAATTAAAAAGTTTAAATCAAAAATTAAAGAATTAAAAATTTTCTTGAATATGTATATGTTTATATATTATTAAACAACACATAAGAAAAAAAGATATTAAAACAACTAAAATTTAAGTAAACAAGCATTATTTAAAAAACAAAAACCATCATATAAAATGTTTCAAATTTTTACTATTAAACAAAATAAATATAGTTGTATTATAGATGATATATTCATAAAGTTTTTGTTGAAATTTCTCTTTACCACTGCTTGATATATATATAAGGTACACCTGTAGTGGTGAACATTTGTTTTTATCATTTTTGTTATTTTAATAATAGTTGTTAAAATCACTTGTATTTTTAACACTTTAAAAAAATTTTGATTACAATGGAAATGTAGTAATCAAAGTTTTCTGCACTGTTTACTACTACAAAAAAAAAAGAGTTACACTGAAAACTTTATGATTTTCAAGTGATCGAAATTTTCATCACTATTCACTCCTACAAAAAAAGAGTACCTAGTCAGCCTAGGTGTAACTGAAAACAAGTTTATGATTTTAAAGAAGTTTTATAGATACTTAATGAAATCGGAAAATCATTTATAACTGGTTCTTATGATAAGATTATTTTGAAAAAAGTTTTAGTACAAAATTCTGCTTCAAAAGTACGCTTCACGAGTAACATAAAAAAATACTTTCTTTCCAAAGAAATAACGCTCTCATATAATTTGAAGGATATTTTGCTTTTAATTATGCATAAACACAGTAAAAAACAGGAAACTTTACAAAACACAGATATCTTGGTTTGTTGGGTTCAAAGGCAACAGGTTGTCAAAATAAATAAGCAAGAATAAAAAACGTTATGTACAAATAATATTTACTATTCAAACCAGGTCAATAAATTAAATTTTAATTTATGTGAATAATTTTTTATTTTGGTTGACTCTTTTAAATGAGTTCAGGTTTTTCTCTGCTAAAATAAGGCTATTGCCATTCAACTCTGTGTCTGCTTGTGTAAGGCTTGATAAGGTTACAATATACTCTAATTTTTTTATTTTTTGCTGTTTATCAAAATGTTCCTTTCATCTAAAATAGAAAAAGACAATGTTAATTGTTGTTTCTAACAATTCTATAATTTTGTTTTAACTATAATTCAATAATATATATATATATATATATATATATATATATATATATATATATATATATATATATATATATATATATATATATATATATATATATATATATATATATATATATATATATATATATATACATATATATACTTTTTTAGTATTTATTATTCTTCCTAAATCATACTAAGTGTATATCTCTAAATAAATTCTCTGCTTGCAAAATCAATGATCTTCAAGATTCTATTTTGTCTTCATAAAATAATAACATTATTAAAAATTATTGTAAATAATTTTTACTTAGTAAAATTTATTACTTAGCATATAACTTAACTAATCCATGTTGTTGTTGTTTTTTTTTAAATAAATTATTATTTTTTAGGTATTATACAAGACTAAGAAATTGGAATGTAACAATGTCTACTGTTCTTGGTGTTGATGGAGAAGAATATTATAACGTGATAGAACACATGTGTTTTCCTGCTTATTTATAATCAAGTTAGTATAGCAAACTGGCTATGGGATAGTATAAACATAATGAGGTGAAAGTTTTGTCTAAAATAGCAAATCCTCTAAACTGCTCAGAATTGAAACTTATTGCAAAGTACTGTGGGTAATTATTAAACGAAAATTAAAAAAAAAACTATGAGTTGTTAAAGATTTAAAATATTTTTTAAAAAGCATCAATTCGTTATGATTTTTATTTTGTGCTCAAGCACAAAACAACAATTATAACAGTTATTTTGAAAAATTATTGGTTACAAAAAAATTTTATTAGATGCCCTAAATAATAATAAATAGGAGTGAATTGAATTCTTTGAAATATTTTATCTTCTAATACTAATAGATTTAAATTAAAAATTATTAATAGAAGTTGATGAGTACCTTTAGAAAAAAAAATTAGGAAAATGTTTATCGGAAAAAAATGAAATTTGTGAAAAATTAAAATAATAATTTGATAAGTTTATAATTGTAAAAAGTTTTAAAGCCTAAAATTTGTATGCCTCAAAGGAAAAGTTAGTGATGATGTCTTGCTAAAGTTGCTGTTTGTAGAGTTTGTAAATGTACTGATCTTTTCATTATCCTGTAATTTAATAAATTTTGGTTTGTATTTTGTTGGGTCAATTTTATTATTTAGTTGTAAACTTAAAAAGTTGTCATTCTTGTTGACCCAAGATTCATGATAGGTATTGTTTTTCCAATTGTCTTGTGTGTGTATTTGAATTGTGGGTACTCATCGGGCTAATGTTGTGTATTAAGGTAGATTAAACATATACTTACAAAAAATATAGAAAACATGAAAAGGTATTTTATATGTATATTTTATTTCATAATAATATTTGTTTTTAATGTTATTTGTTATTAATATAACTAAATGACTTAACTTAAAAGTGAAGTTATCGTAATGTTTTTTTTTTTTTTTCAAAAAAACGGAAAAAGTCTTATACTTAAACTTCAAACTTTACATCGTCGGTATAATTTATATAAACGTAATTCTACGTAACCTCGTCAAAAAGTTAATTTGAGATATATACAACGAAATTTACAGAAAAAAATTATTTTAAAAACGAATTGTTAAAAAAACTCCATTATAGACTAATGAAAAACATTGTCTAAACATATTATTTCAAACATGAGCTAAAATAAAAAACATTGATTTTATAAATACAAATACGTAAATTATAATGTGCAAAAGTCTATTATATCATAGTATTATTGATTTATTTTTATAATGAGTTGTAATACAAGAGTGTTATAAATGCTACACAGCTGTTTTTAGCAAGTGTTAAACTAGATGTTTTCTTTATATCTTTTCAGGTTTCGCTTTAAAGATCGTATTAGAATCAAGTTTTGAATAGCTGCACTGAAACAAGATAAGTTTTTATTATAACATTTTTTTATTGTTATTTTTATAGTTTTTTATTTTTTAACTATTCTACCTTTTTATTTTAGCTTTCCTACTATTGACATATGGTTTTAATTTAGTAAATTTTTATGTTTTTAAATTTACTTTATTGATTATAAGATAACAGTTTAGAAAAAGAAATTTAACACAATTAGGGTAAGAAATTAGCTTTTAACATAACAAAACCTGGTTTTACTGTAAATTCTTATGCTATTCTTAGTTTAATTATATGTCAAATGTTAATAATGATAATCTTTATTATTTCTTTTAACTAACTTTATTTAAAAACTTTGGTATATAAAATTCGCCGAATGGTCACACACGAGCAGTGAACAGAGGAAAGAAACATTAGAATAAAGAAGAATTATTTATCGAACGAAGCATATTTTGACAGTTGTCAAGACAAAAATAAAGATTAATAGAGGAAAATTTCAAAACAAGTAAGACAGACAACACATCCAAGCAGTACTCACAATAACAATAACAAAAAATTGTATCATATAAAAAACTAGTACGTACGAAGATATACAACAAATATAACCAAAATAATTTTTTTTATAACTAGTTTATCCCGTCAGACAAACGTCATCGCCACTTGTGCTTTACCCCGCGACTTCCTATATGCCAAATTTTTTAAATAAAATTGGGCCTAGCCCGTAAGGGTTAGTGTTAAGGTCATCGAGCACGTCTATTTTTCTAATCGCAATTACTGTCACCGCGAAAGAGGATTTTTGTCTGTGGAACATGCCTGGGCTAGCTTTTTAGTCATAAGTCAGTTATAAATCCATGCATAGGTGTTTAATCCATCATGGTTTTCTGGAGTATGGCTGGGCTGGCTTGGTTTAGTTCAGAGACAAATCTTTTACGCTGGTTACTAACAATACAAGACTCTACTGAACGACATAAACAGCACAGACTTACACATTACACCTATACACCCTTATGCACATACAGCCTGTTTACATCTTTTGCATGCTTTTTGTTCTTTCATAGATGAACTATCTTTGTTTGAACTCATCCTTATTTAGATAATATTTTCTTTTAATAGATATGTTGTTGAAATGTAGATACAGATTTGTATGTTATCTATATGTGTTTATCATGTGTGATTGAATTTTTCATTTAAGGATTCATCTGAATTTACATATAAGTATAAGAGCGATTCTTATAAACTAGCGGCATTCGACTTGCTTTTATGAAGTATGTTTTTTCTTGTTATTTTGTTACGGTCTCAAAGTTACATTTAATTCGGACCGTAGAGAAAACTTTATTTTTCGGAATTTTCGATTTAGATATGGTCTGTCACGGAGAAAACAGTCCGCCGGAGTAAACTGTCCGGCCGGACTGTTTACTCCGGAGTAGAATGTCCTACATTGGAGTAAATTGTCCTACTTAGCAAATAATTAGTTAAAGAATCGCGGCTGATTTTGTACCAATAATTGGTACAAAATCAAAAAATTTTGTACAAAATCAGTACAAAATTTTATACCAATAATTGGTACAAAATCAGCCGTGATTATAAGATTTTATATTTGTTATATATTTAGCTATAATTAATATTGTTCGATTTAAAATAAATTATTATGATAAAATATCAAAAATCATTTTAAAAATGGATGAACAGAAGAATAATTATGAAGAAATGATGCTTGCTGATGTTAGTAACTATTTATCTAAATCTGTATATCGTCATGACTGCACCCTAAATGATAAGCAGACAATTAGACGAAAAGCAAAAAGGTAAAGATTGTAAAATTTTTTTAAAATAGTGATTTACTAGTAACTCAACTAGTCTAGTTAGTCTAGAGTTACTAGTGAGTCACTATTTTACTCACATTAAATGTGAGTAAAATAATTTTACTCGCATTTAATGTGAGTAAAATGGTGAGTTGAAATAGACTCGCAATACAGTAATGTGACATAACTGTATTGCGTATATATAATGTATATACATATATACATGTAAATCGTAACCTATATATGTATATACATTATATATGCATATATATAATGTATATACATATATAGGGGAAACTGGGGTAAAATGGGGTACTTAAGAATGAAACCCTATAAAAGTCACAAAAATAAATAAAATGATTACAAATGTATGTTGAAACATCAGAATACAACATAAACAACATTGTAACAGAACAGCAAGTCAAAAGAATGTAAATTAATTGATTTATTACATTTTTTAAAAAATAACATAAAAACCCCATTTTACCCCAAGCATGGGGCAAAACGGGGTAATGGATGGGGCAAAATGGGGTCAAAGGAGGAACTCAAACAAATATGATAAATCAATCACTGCTAGTACAAATATAATCAGTCACTGCTAGTACATAGCTCACACAAAAAGTAAGGTTTTTTGTTTCTTTCATCAATGCCTGCACAAAAATAATGGGCCCAAAAAATAAAGAAAACTTAAATTAAACATTTTTTTCTTTATAACAGGACTTCAAAAAGCTTAATTATCTTGATACTTTGCATAATTTTATTTTTTTACTTCTAATTTGGATTCCATTTCTTAAAAATGTGTTATGAAACCGTAATCACGAAACCAATATTTAAAAATATTTTCTGATAACGCTTCATTTATTTACCTGGTTATTTTCCTGTTATGGCCATACCATTATTGCTAAAGCAATCCAGTTTTGACCAATTGAGCTATGTAGGCGTTAGTCCATAAAGAAGCCAATCCTTGTTGTTTGTAACCTATTTAGTTTTGACTTGAAACAATTTAGGGAAGTGACTGTTACAGTATTGTTATTAAGTAAGTTCCAGCGGTTATGTAGTCAACCGATAAGATATATTGTCTGACCACAGTTGTAAATCTATGCTTAATGAGTGTAAGTGGGTGACTTCTTTTTTTTATTCTTTTGTTTGTGGCTAATTCAAAAAAAAATTTTTTATGAAATTTAGTAGGCAACTCATTCAGCTGCTTGTATACTTCTATTAAGTCTGATCTAGTTCTTCTTTCCTCAAGTGTCCATACACCTAATTTAAGTATTCTGTCTGCATAAGATCGATGTTGCACTTCATTATTATATTACTCTTATCTTATCTTGCATTATTATTTTACTAAAATGATGTTGTATTTTTTCAATTAGTTCTTTATCTTTGATATAAAACTATCAAAGATGTCACTTCAGATACAGAGATGACTGTCACTTAACCTGTGTGGTTTTTTAGTTATTTTAACTTTGTTTTTTCATATTTTAGATGGTTTTTGTTGTTTAGCATATATTTTTAAGCAAAATTTGTTTTCATTATTATTTACTGGTAGTATTTACGAATATCTTTATGAAAAAAATGTTTTGCAAACAATCTAAAATTTAAATAGATTAGAAAATATTTATAACATTTAGAACAATTAATTTTTTAATGAAAATTAGATACATATTTGGCTTCGTAAGTTTGTCCATTTTAATAAGTGTTTCTGACATATTTATTTAAGAGGTTTGAAAAAATCCTAATTCTTATGTTGATTTGTTTTTAAATTTGTTACTATTGCATTCTTCATACAATGGAAGGAGTATGTTTAATAGTTTTTGGAATATTTTCCTACCCAACGCAAGCTTATTTAACCCCCCCCCCCCCATATTGATAGCGTGAAACTTGTTGAAAGAAATCTTGATAACGTAGAATTTGTTGAAAGTAATCTTGATAGCGTAGAATTTGTTGAAAGTCATGTTGATAGTGTAGAATATGTTGAAAGTCATGTTGATAGCGTAGAATTTATTGAAAGTCATTTTGATAGCGTAGAATTTGTTGAAAGTAATCTTGATAGCGTAGAATTTGTTGAAAGTCATGTTGGTAGCGTAGAATTTGTTAAAAGTCATGTTGGTAGCGTAGAATTTATTGAAAGTCATGTTGATACTGTTAAGTTTGTTGATAGTCATGTTGATACTGTTAAGTTTGTTGAAAATCAAGTTGATACTGTAAAGTTTGTTGAAAATCAAGTTTTTCAAAATTTTTTCAGGTACTTCGTTCTGTTAATAATGAATTCAATTGTTAAAAATCACAAAGTGATGTTTACTTTTTCATTCATAAACTAACAGCAATGGAAAACAGCACAAATCGATAAAAGACATGGTGCAGAGATATGGTGACAAACACGAGAAACTCAGTTCAAAGGTATGTTGTTTTAATGATATGTTCATTTATGGATTTTTAAACAATTTATAGTTAAGTAAATTATTTCAATTGGAGAAGAATTGTTTTTTTTTAAGGATTCGTAAGTAAATTCCTTGTGAACTTATAAAAAATTTTATTTTTCAGTACTTACTGAAGTACGAACACCTTTAATCGTAATTATTTTTGCAGTTTCATATTGCTGATACCTGTTTGTTAAAAACTGTCACTCTATTCCTTGGCAGGATTCCCACTCCTCCCTAAAAAACCAAATATCTTTAAAACTCCCAAATAATAAATAAAAAAAAAATAGGAAAATGTGGCTATTCTGCTTTTACTGCTTTTTATACCTTCTATAAAATTGTATTCATTGATTATACTAATCATAGAGAGGCATATGATTATTTGATTCTCTACAGAGTTGTTAGTCCTTGGCCTTGGCCAAAGGTTAAATCCTCGGCTATGAAACTTGGCCTTGGCCTTGTCCTTGAAACCTTTGGTCTTGGCTTTGACCTTCAAAAATTTGGCTTTCTATCATATCTTTTTGAATTTAGAACTATAATTGTTTCATAAACATTAGTATTTCATAATGTCTTTACCTTTACCAACAACCAACTTGTGCTTATATGGCATTGAATTTGAAATACGTGTATTAAGCATATTTGTTTTAATTACAAGCTATAAATCTTTTAATACTAAACATATTTAATTAAAAACTGTATAATTTAAATTTATCATTGTGTAATTGTTTTTAGTAATACTGTTATATTACCTACAATATTGAATAAAATTTTTGTTAGAATGAATTGATAATGGCCCTCAAATAGATGGGATGTCTGATTCGTTGCTTGACAGTTTTACATTTCTTAAGTGTAATAAAGACTGTAAAAAAAAGATTGTTTTGCACATTTTTTAAAAATGTTTAATAAATGTGTGATGCAAATTATAAAATTATGTGTGTGATGCAAATATTAAGTCGCGTGTTTGTCTGTTTTTAAACCAATAAGCCTCAAAACTGCCCCCTTACTAGATGGTGTGGAAAATCCTTATTTTTACCATATTTTTATTAGTGGTAACCCAAATTTTATATTTTATAATTTAAAAACTACTCTGGTGGCTCTTGATAAATATTTCAATCAAATTGTTAGGAACAACGACTATCCTCTAAAAAGTGCAACGTTGTCGTGACATTTAATTTAAAGAAAAAATTAAAAGCAATGATAAGAGAATTGTTGAAAAAAAACTTAGAAACAACTGTTCTGCGAATTCAAAAATCAACTTGTCACAATTGATGACGTGACTTGAAAATCAACTAATCGGACTTCACTACCGTGACTTTAAAAGCCGTTTTTTGTAAGA